GAGACAGAAATCAAAATTTTATGTTCGTTACATTCTGGAATTATTCATAATGAAGAGCGAAAGACACCTGAACACTTCAACTTTCAGAAACAGAAAATAAATCCCATCATCTGTTCTCACAGGAAGGATTGCACATTTGATAAAATCATCACTGGAATATATTATGCAAAAACTCTGATAAAAGTGATTTCACAGCACACGGGGCTTCTTACAATATGAATGAGAAGCTTCAGCATGTCAGATAGAGCTCACCCTATTTCCTAGCTGGAGGACATCCAGCATCATCTAGCTCCTTCCTCCCCAGCCTGACTATCCCTGGTACACCCCTTTCATTCACTGGATTTCAGTTCTTTCCAACATGGAAGCTCAGCATCATGCTACTTTGGGTAGTCTCCATACAAATGCAGCCTGCCTAGAATGCCCACGGCTCCAGTCATCAAGGAAGTTTTCCCATTTGCAGAACTCCTCCCAAGAGCTAGCTCACTGTATGCAAAGCTGAGAAGGATATAAAAGGAAGGGTAGTGTGATGTTTTCAGGAAGCCATGTACAGCACTGTGTCAGCCCCTCCCACCAGCCATGATGTACCTGCACTACATAGAGAAGCACAGAGACCAAGTGAGGATATTACTGGGTATGTGTAATGAAAATGGAGAAATGTTATTTAAAAATGTCATTAGCATATCAATACAGGGAAGAAAGGAACCAGGGAAGGCAAAATATAAGCAGAATAAACTTCCTTTGCACAAAGCCAGGAAGCGTTAGAACCCCTGTCTGGTTTTTATTCCCATTTGTGTCCCTCTAGGGAGATTCCCCTTCTCTCTTTACACTGGTGACCATGGTCACTGTGAAAGTGATGGGAATCCAAAATGTTTTAGTACTCACAGAAACAGAGGGGAAAGGTTCCAATGGGGACACCTCAGTGACGATCTGAGAGGGGAATCCCTCACTTTGTCGATTTTTCTTTTTTCCAGTTATGTCTAGAGATCATAAAATCTCCCAATGGGATGAAAAAACAGACAGGAGTATTAACCATTTCCTATTCCATTATAGAACTGGGGGCCGAGACACACAAAGTATGAGGAGTCCAGCATGACAGCTAGGCAACACTCATTCATTAGGGTCTCTATATTGCTTTGATAACAGGTTTCCTTCAATGTATCCCTGATGGGGGGCTCTTCCTGCATATGCAATGACACATCCAGCTCCTCTACGATGGGACGGCAGTCCCTGCTGTGCACCTTCTGTCCCTGGGCACATGCCAGCCCCATACCACCATACCAGGCCAGGCCCAGAACAGAGAGCCTATTCACACTGCACATTCAACCTGCCAAGGGGGAAGGCGATGTGTACACCGGGAAATTTTAGAACACACATAAACAGAACAGATCCAAAATTAACAGCGTGTAATATTGGGCACTGAATATATCCTCAGCCTGCCAGGCCAGAGCAGTCAGGTTTAATCATTTAAAGGGCAAGCTCACTTCATGAAACAAGAAAAAGGTGAACTAACTCCAAATATCCTGTCCTCACTCTGGACCCTGATGGACATCGCATCCGTGTTGCTGGTGTAACGGTCCTTACACAGCCCCATCATAATGTTGGCAATGCGTGTACTGATCAGCGTGATTACATGACCAATTAGAAGCACTTCATTCTTCTGGAACATCTTACCAGAATAAAGAGCCCCAGGTCAGCGCGGTCATGCATCTGCACTGAACAATGAGTGCGTTATTAACCACTTTACATCAGCCCAATAGCAGTTTTATTGCTACAGGGCAGCTCTCCAGTGCAAAAAAAAAACAAACACATATATATACCCCCATGAGTTTGCAATTCCGCCTCAAAGAGGCATGCATGCGCCACCGCTGGATCGCTTCTGCTGTGAACGGCCACAGCAGAAGCCGATCTTCAAGCCCAAGGTGAACGGATCTTCGCAGGCACCTGCAGATCGTCAGGCAGGGAGGGAGTACAGAGCTATGTTTACATAGGCACATTTCTGTTGTGACAGGAGAAAGCGATGGATCAGGTGTCCCTGTAGAGCTGGGAACACGATCCATCACTTCCGCTTGTACCAGTGACATCTAGTCTACACCAACCACATAGCTAGGCACACACTTAACCCTTTAATCACTCTAGCTGTTAACCCCTTCCCAACCAGTGTCATTAGTACAGTAATCAGTGTATATTTTTAGCACTGTATTAGTGTCACTGGTTCCCACAAAGTGTCAGTTAGTGCAAAAATGTTCACCGCCATTACTAGTATATGAAAAAAAATTAAAAAAAAAAAAATTCCAGTATAACGTCCCATAGTTTTAAAATAAATCTCATTTGGGTACAGTGTTACATGACCGCGCAATTGTCTGTTAAAAGAACGCAGCACCGTATTGCAAAAAGTGGCCTTGTCAGGAAAGTCGGGGGGGGGGGGCAATATTCCGGAGGCCAAGTGGTTAGAGATACTCACTGCAGGGGTTCATTGTGCAGTGTATGGCACACCAGCAGGACGGGCATCATGCAGGGCCTGAAGGGGTGGTCAGAATATTTGGCACCAATGGACCCATTGGCAAGTGTGAATGAGGCCTAAAGGGCAAGTTCTCCTTTTCACAAAAAATAAAATGGTGGACTCTTTAGGCCACATTCACACTTGCCAATGGGGCTGGTTGTGAGTACAGGCAGAAGACCCAAGCTAAGGTGCTTAGATGTAGGGTTATTGCCATTGCAAGCAATAGGGAGTGGACAGCTCCTACAGCTAATTGCAGCTGTACACATATAATTGCTCATGGAGCGATTAATCAGACCTGGATACAGCATATACACATCAGGCATGTGCAGGGTGCATGCTGATAGGAGGAGAGAGCAGATCACAAGAGAGATTAGTTCATCACTGAGCTGCTTTTTCCTTTACTGTCCAGTTAAAAGATGAGGGCAGGGAGGGGACCTGTAAGTGAAACTGCAGCAGAGAAAGACCAGGTCCTCTCCTTTGCCAGACAAGGATTTATTGTGCAGCAAAGCTGTAAAAAAAAAAAAAAAAAAAACTAATTCTGCAAATAATTAATAAGCTCCAATATATGCATTTCATCTGAGTATTTAGGCATTAGCCTGGAGTTCAGCTTTACATTTGCCATACTGCACTGGCCACAAAGCTCCTGTTCACTGGGCCACCTCACAGCTACCAAGTCCTCTGGCCTACTGAAGCTGCCACACGTCAGGAGGGGATATTTTCATGTAGATTTAGTTAGCAAATACATTTTTTTAGAACCTATATGGGGTCGATTGGGTGGTATATGCACAATACTGATCCAACAGTTTGAAATTTCCTTCCCTAGCGATACATTTCAAACAGGAGACATACAGTAGGTGTACTTGGGATTCCAGACCATAAACTAAGAATAGACTGCAGGCAGTGAATACAATTGTCCATTATCAGAGCAATTGATCCAGTTAGGCCTGTAGATGTTACAGTCCATTGGAATCTAATAAGAGCTATACTGGTTCCCCACCTTGTGTTCAGGTGCATGCATTTCATTCTGTTGTACTGGAAGGTTGTCATAAAAATTGACCCTTTCCTTTAACCAATCAGTATTGCTTGCCATACACAGATTGTAATTCAGCCAGTCCAGCAGGAGACCCGATAAATTCTGCTCAGCGAGTGAGCTTTCCCACTCAACAGAAGTCAAATAATGGACTTCTACCGAAGGGACTCGTTGGAATGTTTTCTCATCAGTGGCTGCAGCTGCTGATCAGTGTATTGGGACAGAGGAGTCTCGTTGTCAGAATACAATATTTCAGTGGGGACATACATGGGCAAAGGAAAAGGGCCACTCTAATAGGTCAAGTTCCAGCGTTTCCTCTTGTCCTAGCCTAAGCTGGCCAGGGATATTGGAGAATGTTTAAACTCCAATGCACAAGCACTCCTAAGAGAAGAAAGACTTCTTTATACCCAAATACCCCACCCAGATCTTTTTTTTTTTTTTTTTTTTTTTTTTTTATAGTTGGGGTCACCAATCTATATATAGACATTATAACCAGGGACCATCACCATTTCCTAGCCTCCCTTACCAAAATTGCCAGCTTCACAATGGATACATGACAGGTACTCTTTTCCACACTCCATTAACCACTTACCCACCAGAGGATTTACCCCCCTTCCTAACCTGGCCATTTTTTTGCATGAAAGCACTGCTTTACTTTGACAATTACGCGGTCATGCAACGCTGCACCCAAATGAAATGTATGATTTTTTTTAAATTTACATGTACTGGGATTTTTCATATGGTATTTGATTGCCTGTGCGTTTATTTTTTGGGCTATAAAAAAAATCCCAATACATGTAAATTAATTGGTTTATGTGAAAGTTACAGCATTTACAAAATGGCCACACACACACACTTTTTTTTTTTTTTAATATTTACTAGTAATGGCGGCGATCAGCAACTTATAGCAGGACTGCATTCTGACACTTAAGGGAACTGACTTTAGGTCACTGACGTTCCCAGTAACACAAATACAGTGATCAGTGCTAATAAAAAAGCACCGACACTGTACTAATGGCACTGGGCAGGAAGGAGTTAACATGTGCGGTTTTAGTGCTTTCAGCTGTAAGCACACTGCTTTACATGGCTCAGCATAACAGGGGAGAGACCTGTATTGTTTACATACAGTTCTCTCCCTCAGTTGGTAATGCTCCTCGATCACAGGGTGTCTGAGTAATCACTGGCCGGGACCCAGTGATTGACAGCTAAGGACACGAATAGCTGTGCAGGTAGCTCGCACACCCCCTACCTGGAAATGCTAACACACATGATTTTGCGCACCCCTGCCGCAGTATATCTGCTATAGGGTGGCGGGGAAGTGGTTAAAGTAATGATCCTAAGATTTCTAAGCAAAGTTCCCATGTAACCAAGAAATGGAGGTCAACTTTGAGCATTTTTTACTTTAAAAGTGAAAAACCAGAACACAAAAAAAAAAAAAAAGTCAGGTGATCAGAACAGATCCCAGAGGTTTCAAACGGCAAAATATTTCACAAATAGAGGAGCAGGAAGTTGAGGTTTGAGACTGTAGAGTGGACATTTCTTGTATTCGCAGGGCCAATATCCCAGGCATAGCGGACTCCTAGAACGGCAGGGCATCCATCAAATGAGATGGTGACGGTGTTTGCAGATATCATCAGAGAGTAGGCTGGTATAGGAAACCACTTGTAGCTTTTGCCTTTGTCAGTGCTGCAATATACCTGGAGATGGATAGAGGAAAGGTCAGCATTATGGCAAACACACACCCCATCTTGTAGCCACAATTTTCAAAAGCCCTACTACAGAAAACATTTTTTTTTTTACTTTGAATAGACTAGAATCCTTTGGGTGGCTAGGTTCATACTTGTGCATCTGCATTTTCATGCTTTGGTTGATGCTTTTTTTCATGCTCTCACATTGAACTCAGTGGGGCCAAAATCACACTGTCACTAAAAAGGAAGTGCCAGCACTTTTCCAGGTTGCTCGGAAGCACATTGGATAAGTGGGAACCAGCCCGATAGACAATAACAGGATTCCTACTGTTGTGTATTGTCGCACAAATGTGAATGGTGGTTCAGACTGTTGATGCAGTCTGTCCTCCCATCACCCATTTTTCCATTAGGAAAAAAAAGGCAAAAATCAATTTTGAATGCTGGCCCCAACACTCACTGGGGTTTGTCACTGCTGGCCCCGACATTCTGGAGCTGTAATTTCTGACAGACACCAATGGGGCTTATTTTACTCCCAGAATCTCTTCAGTGGGCCTCAAGATCCCATTTTGTCTGAACCATAGCAAAGCAAAGGGGGTGGCATACTACAAGCCATACACCATGAAGCATCACCCACTTTATCACCATGCCGAAAAGCACATCAAATTTTCCTTCTCCATTCCTTCATGGTTTCACTCCTAATTCTGTTCAGATTTTGGCAACTATGCTGTACTTTTAAGCCCACCAACACCAAATCTAGTTTTTTGTACTTGTTGGCCAGCAATGGCAATCAGTTTTATAGTTCCGAGTAGAGATGACGTCACGCCCATGAATGCACAGGAGTTCAGTCACACTGGTTATTGCTGAATTTGTACAATGAGCTGCAGGTGGACAGGCAAGTAGCATTCATGCAGAAGAGACAAAGCAAGTCTCTTCTGCAATAAAAATCCTGCCTGTTCACCAATTCTTGTCATCTAGCCTAGAGTGCCACTTTAAGCCAGCCATACATGGACTGAAATTCAGCCGGTTCTAGACAAAATTTCAACCCATGTATATGTAGTCTGGTTGTACAGAACTACTGATCGATTTCTGTACAACCAGCCTGTCAGATTTTCCCTGCTTGATCAGCACCACAGGCTAAAGCCAGCACTGCTGATCAGTGTATTGTGATGGTGGGGAGTCTTCCTTCTGCCAGAATACAATACCTCAGCAGAGAGGATTACCCATCTACCTCAAATGTGTGGACAGGGGGGAATTTAGTCACAATTTAGTCAAAAATATGACCGCTTAAGAATTTCTCATTGTTTTAAGTCTCCTATAACAACAAGGAATTCATAGAGACATCTCCCCCACAGGAACAGCACCCCCTAAATAAATATGGCTGGAGCCACTCCAGGTAGTAAGGCAATATCAGTCTGTTCGACTACCCCTGTATAAAAATGTAACCACTTTTTCCTCCTTACCTCAAATACATCATCACAGGTACCACCAATCAGGAGCTTCTGGTCGTATGTAATATTCATATACAGGTATTTATAATAGATGTCGAAACGAACTGGAAATGGACCCTGGAATTGGACTTTATCCCCATAGGCAATGGCACGTGCCCCCAGATAGAGCCTGTACCCTACTGTCTCTTTATCCCTTGGGTGAACGCTGCAAAGGAAAAAAAAAAAAAAAAACCTTATTGAATAATATAAAAAAAAAAAAAAAACAAAAAAAAAAAAAAAAAAAAAAAAAAAAACAAAAAAAAAAAAAAAAAACACCCACACCAAAAATCACCACCACCACTAGACAGTCTCTTAACAGATGTTGCCTTGGGTCACTATCCGTTTAATCAAACAAGGTACTCATTAAAGCTAGCCATAGATGGATTGAAATTTGGCCGGGTTCATTTAGCAACACACTGGCACAATTGCGCGGCACCATGCGATCCATCTGATTTTTTACCATTTTTTTGAGATAGATAAAGCTTTATTTTGGTGGTATTTGACATGCAAGGACTGGCAAAACCACGATCCATCTATTCCCACTCAACAGAAGTCAACCAACTTATGTTGAATGGGACGGTCATGAAAGCTTTCATCCAATCAGCAGCTGCAGTGCTGAGCAGTATGACAGTGGAGGAGTCCCACTCTCAGAACTCAATAGCACAGCAGGAAGGATTCCTCCATCCAAGTCACCTGTGTGGATGAGGGATCACATCCATACACTATTTTTTATATTAATAACCACAACAACCACTACAAAACTATGACCAGCCTTAAGGCCACTGACAGTTTCCCTACTCATCTTCTCTGACGGTTTTTCACTAGTTCTGCATTTGGCTAGGGTCAGTGTCACTACTGGTAGCATGAGGCGATTACTGGAACCTACAGGGGTTGGACAGGCAGTCCAACTCCTCCAGGATGGCACATCAATACATGACATTGCCAGAAGGTTTGGGTGTCTCCCAGAACAGAACAGAGCATGGAGGAGATTCCTGGAGACAGGCAAGTTACTCTAGGAGAACTGGACAGGGCTGTAGAAGGTCCTTAACCCATCAGCAGGACCGGTATCTGCTCGTTTGTGCAAGGAGGAACAGAATGAGTACTGCCAGAGCCCTACAAAAATGACCTCCAGCAGGCCACTGGTGTGAATGTCTCTGACCAATCAAAAAGACTTCATGAGGGTGGCCTGAGGGCCCAACGTCCTCTAGTGGGGCCCTGTGCTCACTGCCCAGCACCATAGAGCTCAAATGGCATTTGCCATTTTACACCAGAATTGGCAGGTCCGCCACTGGCAACCTGTGCTTTTCAGATGAGAGCAGGTTCACCCTCAAACACATGTGACAGACGTGAAAGGATCTGGAGAAGCCATGGAGAACGTTCTGCTGCCTGTAACATCGTTCAGCATGACCGTTTTGGTGGTGGGTCAGTGATGGTCTGGGGATGCATATCCATGGAGGGACGCACAGATCTCTACAGGCTAGACAATGGCACCCTGACTGCCATTAGATCCTGGGGATGAAATCCTTGGACCCATTGTCAGACCCTACACTGGTGCAGGACAATACCTGGCCTCATGTGGGCGAGAGTATGCAGGCAGTTCCTGGAAGATGAAGGAATTGATACCATTGCATGGCCCCTCGCCTGACCTAAACCCAATAGAACACCTCTGGAATATCATGTTTCGGTCCATCCGACGTTGCCAGGTTGCACCTCACTGTCCAGGCGCTCAATGATGCCCTGGTCCAGATCTGGGAGGAAATACCCCAGGACACCATCCGTTGTCTCATTAGGAGCATGCCCCAACATTATCATGCATGGAAGCACGTGGGGGCCATACAAACTACTGAGGACCACTTTGAGTTGCTGCAATAACATTTCAGCAAAGTGGACTATCCTACTGCATCATTTTTTCCACTTTGATGAAAATGATCAACCTACAGAGGACTGAATTCAGATGCCCCAAAAAATCAAACGATGGGGCATCCTTACGTTTCAAACACATTATCCAGTCCATATCAGTATAGACATCCAGCAGGGGGTTTGTCGGTCTGTATTTTCTCAATAGCCACAAAACCCACTTTATGAGAACCAAATGTCTTTTCAAACCCAGGTATTATGGCACCACTGTACTGTACATAACTTGAGCAGAGCTGTGGGAGGGACTCGGCAGGCCCCACCCAATATGGTCTTTTCTCTGCTCCCTCCTATAGTTTTCTACAGGCAGTCTAGTCACCCAGCACAAGGAAAGGGCAGACGTGACTGGTCTTTATTACAGGAAGACACTGTACAGAGTGAAAGTTTCATACTGGATTAACACACACACACTTTGCTGGAATTCAGCCTTTAACCACCCACATGCGTATTGTCCTGATAGGTCGGTCATTCTGGCCACAGCCACTGCCTACCAAAACAAACCTTGAGAAATAAAGATCAAAAGACTTATCTTTTGCAACTATGAATATGCAGCACAAGGAGCCAAAAAAGTTGTGCTCACTTGGAACATGCTGATGATAGAAGAGAGCGGAGTGACAGATGAGTTAATCAGTCTGCTGCTTCTCCTTCGGTACCCTATCACAGACTGTGGGAGGGACAAAACATCTAAATCTTAGGCCAGCAGAGGAAACATCTGGTTTTAATATCCAGATCAGTGTGCTGCTTCTCTTTTTACTGTCCAGTCACAACACAAGAGCCTTCTGACCTGCTAAACAGAACTATGTCATGTGGCAGAACTGTGGAAATCTAAAGACTGAATGGACAGCATTAGAAATCCTTGGCAGGTAAAATGACTCCCAAATTAGGATTTAGTGATTTTTCAGGAATTTAGCTTTTTCAACCCAGAACTTCATGACACAGAAAACAGATCGATAAGAATAGAAATACATTCTCTGCATCTGACCCTCCATATGGCGATGCTTCATCTCCGAGGTCCATCGCCACAGCCATGAATGTGTTTGGCATCCTTGGGTTAGGTGCATAGCCATAATCGGCAGTCTGGTGCCATCGGATTACAGGATAGTTGTCTTTTTGTTGAGATTTCTGGCATGTAGACAGCTGGGGAACAATGAACGAAAAATGGTTATAGCACAACACAATCTCTGTAGAATCAACTTTAGGTACATAGTTTTTAATAAATCTACTCTATTCAATCAATCTATATTCAATTAGGCAGGCCCTTGCAGCACATATGTTGGTAAACCTAAAAAGGAGATTGCACAGCAACCGCTGAGAACAGCTGGGTCATGGGAACCCATGGGTGAGGTCCCCGCTCCTGAAATTTACAGCTGTGGAGCGCTTCCTTACACAGGGAGTGGGAGCTGCAGGATCACATGACTAGACAGGAGCAGATTAAAAATAGGTAGGTACACAGATCACAGGGTAGGCAGGAGGGGGAAGGAACATTTTTTTTAAGGCTATAGTTAGGTTTTTCTTCCACTTTAAGGGCTTTTGAACATCAGATCAAAAAAACGTTCCAACAAGAATTTCTGTAGGTGTATGGCCAGCTTTAAACCTGCAAGGGTATATCCAAATATTTGAATGGACCCCTGCTGAGCTGGTAGGCAAAACTGCTTTCAAAATTGCACAAATAGCTGCCATAGGCGTTCACAGAAGGAGCACAACTGATTGATTGCTATATAGTTCCACAGACCATTCCGATACACTGCAACAGGTCAAACATAGATCACTGCAGCAAATTCTATGCATCCATTTATCAGCAGTGTGGTTCATTGTATTGAGGCTCAAACACTACAATATTACAAGGAGTCCATGAACTGCATCTCTAGTGAAGAAAAGTTCAAGCAAATGCCATATCATATCATTTACTGAATAGCCACACAAGCTTGGTTGGATATTGGATCTAAACTAGTGCCAATAATCTAATGGAAGCACGGTCACAGTCCTTCCAGATATACATTATATTGCCAAAAGTATTGGGCCCCCTGCCTTTACACGCACAAACTTTAATGGCGTCTTAGTCTGTAGGGTTCAATATTGAGTTGGCCCCGCCCTTTGCAGCTATAACAGCTTCAACTCTTCTGGGAAGGCCATCCACAAGGTTTAGGAGGGTGTCTATGGGAAGGTTTGACCATTCTTCCAGAAGCACATTTGTGAGGTCAGGCACTGATGTTGGGGGAGGAGGCCTGGCTCGCAGCCTCTGCTCTAATTCATCCCAAAGGTGTTCTATGGGGTTGAGGTCAGGACTCTGTGCAGGTCAGTCAAGTTCCTCCACCCCAAACTCGCTCATCCATGTCTTTAGGGACCTTGCTTTGTGTACTGATGTGCAGTCATATTGGAACACGAAGGGGCCATCCCCAAACTCTTCCCACAAAGTTGAGAGCATGAAATTGTCCAAAATGTCTTGATATGCTGACACCTTAAAAAAAGGAGTTCCCTTCACTGGAACTAGGGGGCCAATCCCAACCCCTGAACAACAACCCCACACCATAATCCCCCTCCACCAACAAACTTTACACTTGGCACAATGCAGTCAGGCAAGTACCGTTCTCCTGGCAAATGCCAAACCCAGACATGTCCATCAGATTGCAAGACAGAAGCGCGATTGGTCACTCCAGAGAACACGTCTCCACTGCTCTAGAGTCCAGTGGCGGCGTGCTTTACACCACTGCATCCGATGCTTTGCATTGCATTTGGTGATGTAAGGCTTGGATGCAGCTGCTCAGCCATGGAAACCAGTTCCATGAAGCTCTCTACGCACGGTTGTTGTGTTAATCTGAAGGCCACATGAAGTTTGGAGGTCTTTAGCCATTGACTCTGCAGACAGTTGGCGACTTCTGCGCACTGTGCGCTTCAGCATGTGCTGACCCCGCTCTGTCATTTTATGTTGACTACCACTTAGTGGTATTATAACAAAGTGGAAGCAACTGGGCACAACAGCAACTCAGCCACAAACAGTTGACCGTGGAATATTTAGTAGCAAGGAAATGTCACGGATGGACTTCTTGCACAGTTGGCAACCTATCACAGTACCACGCTTGGAGTCACTGAGCTCCTGAGAGCGACCCATTCTTTCACAAATGTTTGTAGAAGCAGTCTGCATGCCTAGGGGCTGGATTTATACACTTGTGGCCATGGAGGAGATGGGCCAGCCATCCAAATCATTGGATTCAGGTGTTCCAAATACTTTTGGCCTGGGTGGATCCCGACCATATGGTCGGGATCTTTCCCCAGCCTGGACCAGCATGTGTAATGGTGTTGGTTGACAAGCCACAGGAGTGCGGAACAAACTGCATTCCTGTGATCCATAGGAGAAGTACAGCCAAATGAGCTTTGGCTGCACTTCTTTTAAAGCAGTATTATACCCAAAAGGCAAACCATTTACTATATTTCAGTTTACCAAGTCGTAGATGTGATGGCTGCATTCATTTTTCTTTTAAGGGCTATTTTATAGTTTTATCTGCTGATCCACCCAGTAAATGTGTCGTTTTTCAACAGAACAAAATCTCCTGCAGATGTAGCAGTTAGTATGTTGAGACAAACCATTTAACATTGGCAGGGGTGCAACACTGCACCGCCACAGATAGAGTATGGAGAGTGCTGGTATATAGTGAACCCAATCCCATTCAGGGATCCATAAACATGTGACCCTTTGTCCCCACAAATGGGACTCAACCTAGGCATATGTGATATATATGTATATAATAATAATAATTGTTACCTGAACAAAGCCAAAAGGGAAGTTGGGGTCTGTCTGGCCGAGGGAGCTCTCGTGGAAGCTACGTCGCCAGTCTGAGATGAGGGCAGGAAAAGTGCAATTATACAGATCCGTGTTCATGCCTGTGTTCTGCTCCCCTACAATCAACATAGAAGATGACTTGTTACAATATGACAATATCATGGCAGTGTTAAAGAAAATTTGTTTTTACATAAAACTTTCTAATAAGAAAAAAAAAAAAAAAAAAAAAAAATAAAAAATGGAAGGTTAAAAAGTAGGGGCAAAGTTTTTTTGGCCCTACTTCTCCTTTGGGTCACAGGAGTGCATTTCATTCTGCACTCCTGTGGCCAGTTTTCAGCAGACAGTGGACTAATTTACTCAGTCAGTCAAGGCTCTGGAGAGATCCCAACTTTTTTTGTTGGTTTTTGAGAAAAATAAATTTTTGCACAAGTAGATTGATCCTGACTTTAATGTTGGGATCCACCCAGATACCTGGACCAGCAGCTGGCTCAGCCTCTCAGTGTGCTGCTGATTGACAGTCCTGAGCTCTCTGCTCACTGAAGGCTGGAACTGAGCAATCAGCGGTCTTTGATCACGCAGTTCTTGGTCTTAGGAGGTGGCAGGGGACAGATGCAGCATCCATCTAGAGGAGTGCGATTGCTTTTTTTCCCTCAAGTCCCAAACGTCTCACCATTCTAAACACTTTCAGCTTTAAAAAAATTACACGAGGGCAACCATATTGGTACATGACCTATGCAGGTCATGCATTCTGATTAGTACTGCTGGCTCCTTCCTCCTGCTGAGTGTCCCCAAAAGCAAGCTACTTACTGTTTGAGGGAACTCGTGCCTGCTCCCTCCTGAGCCATGCTCTGTGTGTTCTTAAGACACACAGAGCACGGCTCATCCCTGTCCCCCACTCTCTCCTCACTGGCTGTGATTGACAGCAACGGGAGCCAATGGCTCCCACTGCTGTCTGAGCCAATGAGGAGGGAAAGACTCCGGAGACCCACTGCTTTCATACCCATCGCTGGATTGAGAGGGGGCTCAGCTAAGTATTAGGGGGGGGGGGGGGGGGGGAGCAGCACACAGAAGGCTTTTTAACTTCTTGCCTAAAATGCATGAAGGTAAAAAAAAAAAAAACTTGAGCCTTTAGAACCAATTTGATGGAAAAAAAAAAAAAAAAAAAAGTTTGAAAACAACCAAATCCGATTGTTTTTCATTAAATAAATGGTCATCATAGGTGAAGCTTCATGTATTGTGAGAGTCTATGTCTCGCAGTACACCTGACCATCACACCTACAGTCAGGGCCATAAATATTGGGACATCGACACAATTCTAAACATTTTTGGCTCTATACACCACCACAATGGATTTTAAATGAAAATAACAAGATGTGCTTTAACTGCAGACTGTCAGCTTTACTTTGAGGGTATTTACATTCAAATCAGGTGAACAGTGTAGGAATTACAACAGTTTGCATATGTGCCTCACCACTTGTTAAGGGACCAAAAGTAATGGGACAGAATAATAATCATAAATCAAACTTTCACTTGGTTGCAAATCCTTTGCAGTCAATTACAGCCTGAAGTCCGGAACGCATAGCCATCACCAGATGCTGGGTTTCATCCCTGGTAATGCTTTGCCAGGCCTCTACTGCAACTGTCTTCAGTTCCTGCTTGTTCTTGGGGCATTTCGCCTTCAGTTTTGTCTTCAGCAAGTGAAATGCATGCTCAATTGGATTCAGGTCAGGTGATTGACTTGGCCATTGCATAACATTCCACTTCTTTTCCTTAAAAAACTCTTTGGTTGCTTTTGCAGTATGCTTTGGATCATTGTCCATCTGCACTGGAAGCGTCCAATGAGTTCTGAAGCATTTGGCTGAATATGAGTAGATAATATTGCCCGAAACACTTCAGAATTCATCCTGCTGCTTTTGTCAGCAGTCACATCATCAATAAATACAAGAAAACCAGTTCCATTGGCAGCCATACATGCCCACGCCATGACACTACCACCACCATGCTTCACTGATGAGGTGCTATGCTTAGGATCATGAGCAGTTCCTTTCCTTCTCCATACTCTTCTCTTCCCATCACTCTGGTACAAGTTGATCTTGGTCTCATCTGTCCATAGGATGTTGTTCCAGAACTGTGAAGGCTTTTCTAGATGTCGTTTGGCAAACTCTAATCTGGCCTTCCTGTTTTTGAGGCTCACCAATGGTTTACATCTTGTGGTGAACCCTCTGTGTTCACTCTGGTGAAGTCTTCTCTTGCTTGTTGACTTTGACACACATACACCTACCTCCTGGAGAGTGTTCTTGATCTGGCCAACTGTTGTGAAGGGTGTTTTTTCACCAGGGAAAGAATTCTTCGGTCATCCACCACAGTTGTTTTCCGTGGTCTTCCGGGTCTTTTGGTGTTGCTGAGCTCACCGATGCGTTCCTTCTTTTTAAGAATGTTCCAAACAGTTGTTTTGGCCACGCCTAATGTTTTTGCTATCTCTGATGGGTTTGTTTTGTTTTTTCAGCCTAATGATGGCTTGCTTCACTGATAGTGACAGCTCTTTGGATCTCATCTTGAGAGTTGAGAGCAACAGATTTTGCAAATAGCACACTTGAATGAACTCTGGACCTTTTATCTGCTCATTGTAATTGGGATAATGAGAGAATAACACACACCTGGCCATGGAACAGCTGAGAAGCCAAATGTCCCATTACTTTTGGTCCCTTAACAAGTGGGAGGCACATATGCAAACTGTTGTAATTCCTACACCGTTCACCTGATTTGGATGTAAATACCCTCAAATTAAAGCTGACAGTCTGCAGTTAAAGCACATCTTGTTCGTTTCATTTCAAATCCATTGTGGTGGTGTATAGAGCCAAACTTTTAGAATTGTGTTGATGTCCCAATATTTATTGACCTGACTGTATATGGGCTTGCTGAACATTCCATTCCAGAACCATTAATATGGCGCCAGCATCCTTTAGCAGCTATAACAATCTCCACATCACTATCAAGGTTTTCCACCAGATTTTAGTTCCCTTCACTGGAAACATCTGAACGCCATGAGAGCCGAGTTCACACACTTTTGGCCATATATATTATAAGACTAAACAATAGGACACCCTCAGTGGGCAGATTTACCGTTCATCTCTATCGCCCATTTGTACATTAGCCATAGTTATGTTAGAGGCCTAGATCTTTTATAACGGGTCATACTGCAATCATGGAATAATTTACCTTGATACCATATTGCTCCTTTAATGGTCATGTTGAGGAGGGGGTGAATCATGGCATTCCACAAGACGGAGTAGTTGCATGGGCCGGCAAGTATGTCAAAATATGGATCACTTTGGGGGAGAAGAAAAAAAAAAAAAAAATTCACTTGGTGTATGGTACAAGAATAAAAAAAATTAGATCTCTCTCTCTCTCTCTCTCTCTCTCTCTCTCTCTCAGAATGTAAATCAGGAATAAAATTCTCCATCCAATGCTGAATGTCTAAAAACATACAAAATGGGGTCAGAAGCATTTTTCTAGTAGTACAATTCCCTTGCATTGGTAACTATACTATATATCTCCGCCCCCCACCCATCTCTGAGCACGATCCCTTAGTTCCACCCGCTACCCACCTCCCAGTACCACCTGTTTTAGAGAATACAGAGCCAAGAATCATTTTGTGGTGCCACGTAATTTGTTAACAAGAAAAGCAGTAAATGGGTCCCCCAGAACCAGCAGCAATAGACCCACCAAGCAACAATAGGTCCCCCAGCAATAATGGGCCTCCAAAATAAAACACCACCGCATCAACAAATCTCTCAGGATCAATAGACCCCTTCCTCTACAGTACATCCCTTCCAGCAACAACAGATTCCCCACCACAAACAGTAGACTTCCTCAGCAACAATAGACCTCCACCAATAATAGACCCCTCCCAGCAACAATAGACACCAACAAAAATAGATCCCCTCAGGCAAATTATATAAATATATTTATATATTTGAATGGACCCCCTGCTGAGCAGGTAGGCAAAAGGCTTTCAAAATTGCACAATAGCTGCTATAGGCATTCACAGAAAGAGCACAACTGATCTCTCTCTCTCTCTCTCTACCAGCTGGGGAAGCCTATCTTGCCTTTTTTTTATTACACGCATAATAAAAAATAAATTTAAAAAAATGATTGCTTGGGGCAATTAAGTATGGAGGTAGGTGCAGTCTGTTTTCTACAGTGTAGGTGGTGCTAGACTGGAGCGGTACTGCAGCTGGAGAGAAAGTCAAGAGACGCTTGGTTTCTCTATGGTTTACTCAGTCCCCTGGAGCAGCATTCTGGTTGGCTACAATGCATCCAGTTGACCATCTTTATAAGTCCCTGACCCCAAGTTTTGGCACACGTTTGAGTGCAGGGAGAGCATAAGCCTGTCAGGGACAGTCCTAGCAGTAGGGAGAGGTTCTGGATTAGTAGGGAAAGAGCAGGGCTTACGTCTACATTTCAACTAGCCCTTTCTTGGGTTGAACTGGCCACGCCACACTCCACTTCCCTTGTCTACAGCTCGGGCCTACTATCGCCAACGCTCCACTGCATTGACGGAGTTCCCGGATGGGTGAGCTCCCCGCCAGGCTGTTGCGCTGTTTTGCAAAGTTCTTCGACACACCGCTTTCTGCACTCAGTGCAATTACTGCCGCTGCACCCAACATAAGTAGGATCACCCTTCTTTGCAGATCCACTAAAGCCCAGAATCAGTTTTCCAGACAGCAAGAACATAACTCGGAAAATTAATATCTGCCTATAAAAAAGGAGAGGGAATCATTCATGCCAGGATCATTTTATAATAGGGCACACTTATTTTGCACTGCGGAAGAGAGAAGGAAGAGAGAAGGAAGAAGAGAAAGAAGAAGAGAGAAGGAAGAGAGAAGGAAGAAAGAAGGAAAGAGAAGAAGAAGAGAGAAGGAAGAGAGAAGGAAGAGAGAAAGGAAGAGAGAAATTCCATTCCAACTTCACAGTCAATATGGACTAATTTTAATCCTTATGCTGTTAACATTAGTAAATAGATACTTTTTTTCAGTTACTTCCTGGTTTCCATGCCTAGGCAAATGTTGTCATACATCCCAGGAGTCTTCAGAAGGGGAGGAGAGATTTTCTGAGTCAAGTACACCCTCCTGCCTGTATGTCTGAGCCAAGTGCAGATGGATTCCAGGAAGTAAAAAACGCTACATGAATCATCTGCCCTTAATCAAGATGGCCATAATCAGAAATGCTAGGGGGAGGGGGAGTTTTTCTATGTGATTTCCCAGCAAAATAAAGCATGGAGACATGAATGGATGGATGGATGGGTGAGTTTGCTTTGAATATTTAAAAAGGAATTACATCTTTTGGTTTGTGGTGCTCAAATGCAGTAAAGTTCCACTTTAAGCAGTATTAAATACAAGAGCAAACATTATATTGCAGCTTATCAATTCTTAGATGTGATGCCTGAACAAAGATGGTGCCATCCTTCCCACAAGAAAAAAACAGATAAAGGCCTTGTGGGAGTATTGTGATCTCTGTGGTAATAATACCTGGAAGTATTACACAGACACAGTACTAACATAAAAACAAAATGTGAGGTTAGGCCTAATTTAAAGATTACCCTCCTCAACCAGATGCCACAAAAATAGGAGGTGGTATGTTACCTGCCTGTCCAAACATGGTTCAGAATTCTTAGTCTACTCGTATTTAGGTGTTGTGAATTCATTGCTCACCTGTCTAGCGAGTTGAAGAGCTCACATTTTTTCAGAGCAGTTTTCGATGACCAAGCCTCAACCGGAGTGCCTCCCCAGGAGGATTCCACCAGTCCTATTGGATACTTCAGCTTGCGTGCCAAATGTCGCCCAAACACCCAGCACACTGCGGAGAAGTAGGCAAAGTCGGCATGTCCGAGGATTTCTTTTTTGGTAAAGAAAACAAAAACCATTAGCACCAGATTGTCAATGTTATAGTCAAAGTTTTAAGCGGCTTTCCCTGTTTCCCCTACTAATTACCATGACAATAGTTTTATATACTTTGTTTTAAATGGAGCAATGTCATCACTGGGTCTATAGGCTTTTCTATTCAATACAGGTAGATCATGGCTGGGATTGGGGGGGGGGGGGGGGGGGTTCTGCAGAACAATAAAGCTGAATGTCCGCTATTTACTTGTTTCCCAGTCTTCTGCAGAAACGTGTGTTGGCATTGTGTAGTCTCAACCAGGAGTGCATGTAACAGGGTGACAACACAGGAGCACAATTGGAAGACTGTGCTCACTGCATAACAGGAAGAACTTCATGTTAGGATCACCATGAGATTCTAATCACAGTTGCAGATTTAAAAAAAAAAAAAAAAAAAAAATTTATGAGATGAGATAAAACATGCGATCCTAAGGCCCCTTTCAGATGGGGCAGATCTGTCAGCGTGATCCGCCTGCTCAGTGAGGGATCTCTCAGTTTGCTCTGCTGCAGAGCGGATACAGCCTGCTGATTTCAGTGGTATGGTCGGATGGAAATGAACTGCCTGTCCGTTTCCACCCGATTGTCATCTGATCCGATTCGCTGGACAGATAGGGAACAGATCCCAATCCATTTGTTTCTGTCTTACAGGATCGGATCAGATGCCGGCGGACCTTTGTCCGCTGACACCCACCATTCTATAGACGTCTATGAGTGGACCAAATCGTGTCTGCCTGAAAAACGGACAGGCAGACCCCATCGGTCCGCTCGTGTAAAAGGGGCCTTACATGATGTGTTAGTAATTGAGTTTAGAGCCACTTCTTACTAAAAACAGGCTGCGTTTATTCCTCCTCATTTACATTCCCTCCAGAACAGGAGCAGGTAACAATGTTAAAATCATCCATTGTGATTTTGTGACAGGACCCATCAGATGTAATATAAAAAAGTAGATACTCACCGGCGGTTGGAAGTGACCACTGCAGGTCCACCTTGGCAAGATCTTGGAGTTCCGTACCAGACTGTACTAGGGCAGCTGTGAATAGTCGTATATGAGGGTAATTGGAGGCCATCTTCATCTCCTCACTAGCATTGAACATCTGTTGGCAAATTACATTTCTTTTACTTGATACACTTGATAATGAATCCATAAAAAAAAAAAAAAATTTTCAGGGGGGGGGGGTGGGGGGGGGGGGGGGGAAGGATCAAATTAAAATTTTCAGATTAATTTATTACAGGTACTTATAAAGTCAAATTTACACAGCGATTTACATATTTTGTACATTCACATCAGTCCCTAACCCTCAAGGAGCGTACAATCTAAGGTTCCCAGTTGAGGGGGCAACTCGCATTCATACATACACATATTCAGGTCAATTTAGACAGGAGCCAATTCACCTACCAGCATGTCTTTGGAGTGTGGGAGGAATCCAGAGTACCCGGAGGAAACCCAAGCAGTCACAGGGAGAACATGACAACTCCACACTGATGGTGCTGTGGTTGGCATTCCAAACCAACAACCCTATGACTGCTAGGCGGAGATGCTAACCGCTTAACAACCAGATTCTCAGTGAATCTGGGCAGCACAGTAGCTAAGGAGCAGGTGGTTGCTGCATCCCTAGCAACCATGACTCATCTACAGTCAGCAGGTTTCCCCATTGTCAACAGAATTTAAAGAAAATAAATAGCATGTCATTTAAATGTTGGGTCTGGCATGAATTTTGAGGGGAATCTCATGGCAAAATATAAATAAATAACCTATGGCGTGGTGTTCCCCCCCCCCCAGATCTGTACCAGTCCCTTACTCAAGCAGGCAGGCCAGACAACCCCTCCCCCCCCCCCCACGCGGTGGGTGTGTGGCCAAGCGCTCACTTGTCCATCCGTTCCGATCCGTACCCCCCAAGCAGGCATCCCGGCAGGCCAGACAACCCCTCTTATGTGGCCAAGCGCTCACTTGGTCCCCCCCTTGCAGCAGCTCAGATAAAGGTCTGGTACGGATCTTGTGGGGGGATGGGGACTATGCCTTTTTTTGGCATAGGATTCCTCTCAAAATCCAATCCAGACCCCAAAGAGCCCGATATGGATTAGGGGTAGACCCCCACACAAACCCCCATCCTTTTTAACTGGCACTTCTTTTGTTTACATTCTGGTGAGAGTGGGGAATCCCGCTGACAGCAGATGAATCATGGTTGTTAAGGAAACAGCAGCCGCCCGCTCCTTAACAGCCAGGCTTTTCCGAACGAAACTGAATACCGAAGATATGAAACAAATTCAGAAAACGAATATAGTCCATTAACAAATGCATCCGAAACAAATTCTTCAATTAATGAATGCATCCTAAAATTAACCTTTACGGTACTGCACATGCCTAGTGGCAGTGAACACTACAATCTTCTTTAAATTTACCAGAGCGCTGTAAGATGGAGAATATTTAAAGCATAAATCCAGGAATTTTTTTTGGCCCGTGCAGTGGAGCTGTGCCAGCACTGCATGGCACAAACGCTCGTTTTGTTCTAGGGTAGAAGACACCAAATATATACTAACCTGACCGCCGATCCTTCTCATAACAAGACCCCCCACGGTCCAGCAGTCTTGTAAATGGACTGTTCCTGATGTGCACCCCACAGACAGGAACAGTCGACAGATCATCCCACCAAGTGTCATACCTGCTTTACAGTCATCTCCATATTGCTCTGTCCACTGCACAGCCAGACATCACCGAAGAGAAGGTCCTTCAGGTAGATGGTGGTTGTCTTCACTGTAGTTTGTTCAGCCACCAAGTGGTAGGGACCCCCATATTCCATGGCAGGCAGCAACACCCTCCACACCCCTTCATCTGAAACAAAGATAGGTGTAAAGAAATATGTGATTATACAGGATTTCTCAATCACAAACCTGAAAAAACAAAGATTCAGCCGAATAGAATGTAATAATGAAATCACAATGTGGTACTTTGGGTAAAAGCTTCTGAACATTAGGGTCCAATATACAGTATTTAAAGCTGATCTCCAGGATAAGTAAATATCTTAATAAAAGGTCATCCAAGCCCAGACCTAGGGGGTGCTGGGGTGTCCCATGATGCAGTCTGATGGGGGACACCTGGTGTAAGGGGGAAAACCCTTAAGGTATGGGCAGGGACAGTTAATTGGTACCCAAGATAGACTAAAAAGGTACACAAAGACCATGGAAGGTAGCACAGTTATTAATTGGATATGTAGAAGTAAGAAAAAAAAAAAAAAAAAACGTGGAAGACAGCAGGATCCAAAATAAATGGCAACAGAGCCTCACAGGCAGCCCGGGTACAAATAGCTCTTATCAATATTGGGGGGTACTTTAACACAGTCTCTGCACTTGAGAGGACACTTTGATAGTCTTACATTTACCAGAGAAGCCTCTGATGAAGGGGTGGTTGATGGGCAGAACCACAATGGGACAGTGCCATTTCTTAGCATTGCCCTCACCAAAGATGGCCATGAAGGTCAGTTCCTCTCATCCTCCATTCCTTTCTGCACTGCAGCCAGCTGAACAGCACCACCTACAGTGGGGAGGATAAACTGCACATGCCTACAAATGGGCACCCTGATGGGGACACCTGATGCAAGGGTGGCACTCTGATGGGGACACTTGATATAAGGGGAAGGACCAGGGTTGCCAACTGCCCAAAAATGTATGGACAATTTGTAAAAATCATCCACTTTTTAACTGTCTGTAAATGTCCAGGAACAGACACAGAATACCCACATAAAGAGGTCTGCGCTCAGCGTTGGAAATTGCGCAAGCACAGTCCTGTGCTTGACAGAATTGCTTGATGGTGCTTGACCTCAGGCAAAGACGGCGAAGTCATGGTTCCAAGTTACATCACAGTCTGCAGAATTCCCCTTTACATCAGGGTCCGCAGAGTTTCCCCTTAAATAAGGCTCTTCACAGTTCCCCCTTGCACTGTAAAGAAGTCTGTGCAGAATCTGATATAAGGGGGGGGCACTTAGATGTAAGGGGGGGGGGGGGCTACTCTTGAAACCCCTGATGTATAGGGAAATGCTGGGAATGTTGATGGAGAAAGAAGAAAAAAAAAAAAAAAAAAAATACTTTGTCCTGAAGTGGTGTCTGTGAAGCCATCAGTGGTACAGAAATTAGGAAGATTTTGTAGGTACATAGAATCTGTGCCTAGTCGCTATATACACTGCACACATAACAGTCTGTTTAATTATCCCCCTTTAGGCCCCTCCCACCACTAGCCAAAATCTAGCCATACATACTGATCGCTGCAGCACACTACGCAGAACGTATTCTTCTGTTTTATCCCAAAGGTGCCCCAGGTTTTTCGTCATCCTAGCCATGCTCACATTTTGTCACCATTTGGAATTTTTCATTGTAAAATCAGGATATTACTTGTTCTAAATATTGTTGATGTTTACATATTGTTTATACTTCTTAAATATGGATTGGCGGAGGTTATAATGGCAGTTTGTAATTTTTCAGGATGTTAGTAAAAAATGTGGTCTGTCAGTAGACAAAAACACACACACACCACACAAGAAAAAAAAAAAAAAAAAGCAGATTGTTCCCCAAAAGCCCAAGGATCCAGTGTAGTTCCCAAAGGTTCTGGCTCTTCTCTGCACCACACCTGGTCCCACACTAGGGGGGGGACTAGCTGTTTCTTTAGCGTTGTGCAGTGGACCCGTAATGACATACCCTACGGCCCCCTGGGACCCATGGTGTTGGTATACATCATTCTGTCCTCGGCCAAAAATAAGGATTTATGGGGAGGGGGAAGGTACTGTGCCATTACATTTGTTATGTAAAAAGCATAATGCAAAGCATAAATCATGGTCATATTACTTTGAATTGAAAATGTATGTATTTCACCGCTTTACCACAGCCCTATAGCAGAAATACTGCAGCGGTGCGCAAAATCTCATATACACATGATTTTGCATTTCTGGGTAGGGGGCGCGCACAAGCCACCATTCGCAGCCTTTAATCCCCGGCTGGTAATAACTCACTGGGCGCCCGGTGATTTCCGAGGATCTCTGACAGGGAGAACGGTTTTGTTCAGCTCGGGCACAGCCATCCAGAGCAGTGCGAGTACAGTGAATCACACAAACACTGCCCCATAGTAAAACACGACCAGTTCACCCTTTGATCGCCCATCATGTTAACAACTTACTGCCCAGTGCCATTAGTACAGTGTCAGTGCTTTTCTTTATCACTGAATTGGTGTCACTGGGGATGTCAGTGACACCAAGTTAGTTACCCCCAGTGTCAGAATGCCCACCGCAGTCCCTCTAAAAGTCGCTGATATTACTAGTAAAAATCCTAGCATATATACCGCCATTTGTAGATGCTATAACTTTCATGTAAACCAATTAATTTACATGTATTGGGATTTTATTTTAGCAAAGATGTAGCAGAAAACATTTTGGCCTAAATTTATGATGAAATTAGATTTTTTTTACTGGACGAAAATTATAGATTTTTTCTAAAAATTTTTTTTTTTTTTTTTTAGCGCAAAAACAAAAAAAAAACAAAAAAAAAAAAAAAACAACAAAAAAAAAAACCCACAACTTCCTGGCCTGGTCAACAGTTCCCTGGCCTGGTCAGGAAGGGGGAGTAAATCCTCAGGAGGGCAAGTCCTTAAATTCCTTAGCCATTGTCTACTAGTTTCATATATATGGTAGTTGGTTTGTCCATTATACTGCCATCATGTGGTCATTTTGGTTATTGCACCATCCTTTTCCATCTTCCAACCTGTGTCCCTCCCGCTAGCTTGTGATGCATTTCCTTTTTACTCTGTCTTTATTGGGATGAATATGGCTGCCAGACTCTAGGCTACATATAATCTGCTTGCATCTAGGAATACATTACTAGGTTTTGACCTACAAATACTGCCTTTTCAATCATCTGCTGCATCTGTTGTCTGCTGCATTCAAAAAAGATTTTGTGGATGAGAAAACAGGTGTTTGTGGAGTTCAGCTATCTGACAATGACAGTCCGTGGTGATTGAATCTGCTTATACAGGTCAGGCATAGAGGTTGCAGCAAGGGATAAGTCACTAATACAACAGTTGGAGTCAGAATATACACAGTTCTAGGACAAGCACTGTAGATTCCATCACACTTACCATTGATGGTCATCATTGTTGCGTAGAGAGCTTTCACCCCATATTCAAGTGATACTGTCAGACCGGCACCTGGCTCACCATACCCCCAGATGACTGCACGTGCCGGCTGCTGCTGCAGAACCATGTGATCTCCATAGTACGAAGCAAAACGAAACTTGCAATCTGGAATATAGAAATCCAAAAAAAAAAAAAAGCCTCATGTATACTTCCACCTCTATTACCCTGTAGATGGGAAAAAAACAAAACCAAACGTTTGCCATGTGAAAAATATGGGAGCGGCCAGTCTACATATCAGACTCCCCCTCAGGATTCACTACATAAGTATGTAGTTAGCATCCTACCATTTGATTAAAAGGTTAATTCACTAAAAAGTGAAGTTTTTATTTTTATAATTCCCACCCACATCAAAATATTCCCGCCTTTTCTGTTGTATTCTATATAACATACTGTAGATGTGTAGCAGGGATGGAGGGAGCCCCTTACAAAATGGTAGAAGGAGGTGTGTAGACCCAGGAACACAGATCTCACCAATAGAAACCCTGAGACTTAGGATTCGACTCTGTAGTATCCAGGTATTTATTACTTCTCACAGAAATCACAAATACTCCCCATGACAATGCTTTCATCTGCTTTCCTCTCCAGAAAGATGGCACCATCTTTAAACAGGCATCATCTAGACCAGGGGCAGGCGGACTGACAACCATGGCCCCCCCCCCCCCCCCCCCCCCCCTAGCCCACACTCAAAAAAGCCTAGAAAAGCGAGAGGAAAAGAAAGAAAAAAAAAAAAGAGAGAGGAAAAGAAAAAAAAAAAAAGAGAGAGGAAAAGAAAAAAAAAAAAAATGAGAGAGGAAAAGAAAGAAAGAAAAAAAAGAGAGAGGAAAAGAGAAAAAAAAAAGAGAGAGGAAAAGAGAAAAAAAAAAAGAGAGAGGAAAAGAAAGAAAGAAAAAAGAGAGAGAAAAGAAAGAAAGAAAAAAAAAGAGAAGGAAAAGAAAGAAAAAAGAAGAGGAAAAGAAAGAAAAAAAAAAGAGAGAAAAGAGAAAAAAAAAAGAGAGAAAAAAAGAAAGAAAAAAGAAAAAAAAAAAGAGGAAAAGAAAGAAGATAAAAGAGGAAAAGAAAAAAGAGGGTACCAGGGGAATTTCATGGGGCCCCCTACTGACCCTGGGCCCTCGGGCGGTGCCCAGTCCGCCCCTGATCTAGACTCTCCATCTACTAGCTGCCTGCTCAGATGACAGTCATGTAAATTCTGTGCAGTTCTTGGCTGTGTTCATGGCCGATACAGACCAGCTCTTGCTGCATCCCCGCACCCTGTGACATGCTACATAGTTAGAATGTACAGTCTGCTCACTGGTGGACAGGAGACTAAAGAAATGCTTCCTCCTGCCTGCAGCAGACCATTGTCATCATCAAACCTAGGCGAGGTCACTGACTGGAGCGCAGGGGTGGCTCTTGAATGATAGAAAGTGGAGCTTTGTACGGTTTGCTGTATTTTGTGGATTATGGTCACAAATCCAGTTATACAAACCTGTAAAAATCACTTTAGCCATTTTAACAGAAATAGAATTTTAAATCAGCTGCAATTCCTTTAGATCGTAAGCTCCACGAGCCGGGCCCTCCTATTCCTTCTGTACTGAAATGTATTGTAATTGTACTGTCTCCCTTATATTGTAAAGCGCTGTGCAAACTGTTGGCGCCATATAAATCCTGTAAAATATTATTATTATTATTATTATTAATTATTATTATTAAGTGGTCACAACAGAGGGCGGCACTCAACTGGGGGAAAGGGTGGGTGAGAACAGCTAGTAATACAGGATAGGGACTCAACAGGCTCTGTAATCCTGACTAACCAGTTATTTTTCTTCTGGTATGATCCCGCATAAAGGGTGACAGCATGCCGAACCCATTACCACCTTGCTTTGTTTGCAACACATCGATTTTGGACTGAGGTGTGTGCTAAGGGGATAGGTCTTTATGCAACAAACAGCAGAAGTCTCAGGGTTTCTGCATTTTTAAGAAGGCCATTGGTTGCCGCCTGTTATGATCAGACCATGCAGGGCCAGGCCAAAGGGTGGTTGGCTTGGGTTGCAAGAAGGGCTGGACCTGCAACCTGTGCTGTTCAACTAGTTTATAAATCATGGCGATTGGGATGATGGTGGTGGTTGGGATGATGATGATGGCTGCACTTTGGCATTTTCACCGTGGGTGCTAAACAAACTTTGTTCTGGCACTGCAAGCCCTCGATTGTCATCACACGCCATATTCCAGCCTGCTGGAAAAACCAGCATATATTTGCAGATCCCGTATGTAAAAAGGGAAGGAAGCTTTGACCAGGTTTCCACCACTATCCACATGATTGAGTCACAGACGTCTGAGGTTGTTGTCTGATCATCTGCACATCTTAATAGCCGCGTACATCCCCTACACATTACAAATCAACCATGCAAATTGCTGAACATTGCCTTTCTACGCTCATTACAGGCAGGATCATGCGACAAGACTTCTGTCCACAAGACAAACAGCTTTGTTTTGGTTCAGTAAATGTGAAAACCTGGGCAAAGTTTAATCCAAGTTTCTCTTTGAAGGCTTGGCTGGAATTATTCCATTGCATGTGTGTTTCCTTGTATGCTGGTAACATGCATTCCATATGCTTTTTGTGGTGTATCCCTTGCATTTTAAATGGGCCTTCAACGCACAATGCACCTGATCCCTGCGCATCACAAAACAGAGAAAATTCATGTGCTGTGGTGGCAAAAAAAAAAAAAAAAAAAAAAAAAAAAAAAAAAAACAAAAACACACAACGAAAGTCAAGCATGCTTGTACAAAGCTGAGACAAGGTACTTTAGCATCCAAAGCCAAAAGATCAAAGGGCATCCCTCCCCCATGAGCTTTGAACTACATCAAAGGGCATAGGTTGCATGTCCTGCCCCTCCACCGCTGAATTGCCCATTGGAACCATCTACTCTGCCTACCCCTTGGCCAAGCCCTGGGTCCCACCTATCTGTAAATAAAAATGAACGGGCTCTCCCCGTGCACTAGGGTGTCACAGATCATTAGTCTGCATCTTTGCTGGCCACACATACACATCCAATTTTAAAGATCTCCTCTGAGAGTTGGCATCTTTCAATGTCTGATCATTATTACCCCTTGGCCTGGCCCAGCTTAGGGTAGGCAGAAGAGGCCAGCTAAAAGGTCAGAATCAGCAACCTAACCTGCTGAGTTAGTTCACAGCTCATAGGGGGAGGAGGAGCACTTTGGCTTTTTTTTGCCTTGGGTGTTAAAGGATCTTATCCTAGCATGACAGTTCCTAAACATTCTAATTCGAAAGTCAGGTTCACATTTGTGGATTAGGGTAACACATGCAAAATTACTTTGTGCTTTGCATTAATGCAGCCCATTTATTTTAAAATTAGCTGTCAATGCACAACCCCCCCCCCCCCCCCCCCCCCCCCCCCCAAAAAAAAAAAAAAAAAAAAAAAACCAAACACAACACAAAAATTTACACCACACGCTCCTAACCCATTTTCGAGAAGGCAAAATGAGTGACACCCCAGCAAACCAAACGCGGGCGAATTACTGCAGATCATTGGGGTTAACCATTCCTTTTTTTCCCCCAACATTGATTAGCTGCAGTATTATACACACGAAGATTTACCAGACAATAAGTGATTCTGGAGAATGATCTACAGATACCCCACAGCTCTGTCTTTTTCTCCTGCAGATTGCAGATTTCCAAAAAGAACAGCCTCCAGCACACTAAATTTCCTGGACTCTGGATGAAATCCCCAAACTTCTGTTACTCCAGAATGCTCTTTATTGCTGGCCAGGATGATTATTGGAAAGGAAGAGAGTCCCTCCGATATTTACATTTAGATGCTTCTATGTCTATGTCCATTTGTCAAAGTAAAGACTGCTTTTGTGATCATGCTTTTTATGCGTTGAAAGACTTTCATTTGCTAGGTGTGACAATTTTGTTTTTACAATTCAATTGTTTTCAAAGAAAGTGGAAAAAAAATAAATAAATATAATATATATATATATATATATATACATACATTACATACATACATATACATACACATACACTTATATATATTAGTATGCACGGGACATTATTACAGTCAGACGCAGGGGTGGGACTGACAACTCATGGGGCCCCCTGGGCAATAGGGGATCATGGGGCCACTGTGTCCTTGCCCAAACTCAAAAAAGCCTATGAAAGAAAAAAAAAAAAAAGTCTATATTGAGTAACGGTTGTCATGTGCGGCCATCATTTGGGAGCAAATAGCGATAGTTTGTAGCCTATAATTCATTAGTGATCGCTGTGAGAAGTGGTGGTTACATTACTTGATGTAGGGAACCTCAAGGGCGGCCCCGGGACATCACCAAAGAGGCTACACTGAGTGTTAAGTAAAAAAGTACAGAAAGCGGTCAGAGGCTGCGGTCCGGCGACAGGTGACAGTCAGAGAAGAGAAAAAGGATGAACACAAAAAAAATAAAGATCATGTGAGAGAAACCGCACCAGGAAGTCTAAAGAATTTTTTTTTTTTTTTTTTTTTTTTTTTACTGGCTTGTGAAAGCACCAAAAACAGACTATTGTCTGCTGGGGCCCCAGGGCCTGCACAATAAGTGACAAACAACTGCATACCAACCCCATGTCGAAGGTGGGGAACCAGAAACTAAAAACAAATCAAACATGAAAAACTTGCCTCCCTACAGTGCGAGTTCCACAAGCTGCATGTAGTTGCAATTCGTTTGGGGCACTGCGCAATGCTGTGCGATTCATGCACTACTTGTGTAACTCACACTACAGGCTGCTGTCTGCTGGATCCGGGTAGGGATCAATCATAAAACTTGCAGTGATGAATTACTAGCGATTTTAGTTGTGCTTGTCAGTTCCTAAAGATTGCCATTGTGTTCTTACTCCAACAGTCCCGCAACACAGCGACCTGCCAAGTTCCTGGTGCCACATCTGCAGCTCTTTGACACTTACTGTGCCGCCCTGGAGGCCCTTGCAGACCGGGCCTGTGCAAGACTACTTTGCACCCTGGGGAAGATCAGCTACTTGCATCACCACCCTCCCCCCAAAAAGAAAAAAAAAAAAAAAACAAAAAACCCCACACACCTTTCGCCTATAGTTCTATTTCACCCCTCCTAGCACACATCCTCTTTCCCCTTCAAATTTTCCACCCTAGCACAAATCCTCTCCCCCAAGTCCCACCTCCTGGCACAAGCCCTCCAAATTACCCTTCCCAGCACAAATTCTTTCTCCCCCATCAAATCCACCCTCCCCTGGCACAAATCCCCCATCAAATCCCCTCTCCTAGCACAGACTCCCCAACAAATCCCCCCCCCCCTGACACTGACAACTCCCCCCAATCCTAGCACAACTCCTCATCCCCTCTCCAAGCACAAATGCCCTCCCAATACCCCTCCTAGTATCCCCCCCCCCCCCAAATCCCCTCTCCTAGCACAAATTCCCCAACAAATCCATTCTCCTAGCACAAACCCCCCTCCCCCTCGCAGCACAAATCCCCTCTCCTAACACAAATACCCCCCCCCCCCCAATTCCCTCTTCTAACACACAAATTCCCCCTCAATCCCCCACCCCCCTCCTCCCAGCATCAATTCTCTTCCTTCAAACCCCTCCCCACCTAGGACAAATTCCCCAAATCCCGCCTCCGGTTAAAACCCTTCCAAATTACCCTTCCCAGCATAAAATCCTCCCACCATACCCAAATCCCCCTCCCCCCCTTTTGTAGCACAAATTCCCCCTCCTACTCCTAGCATCCTTCTATTCCATCTCCTAGCATCCCCCTCAATACCCTTTCCCAGCACAGATATCCCCCCCTCCTCAGGCTATAGTGGAGAGTAGGGAGGCCAGCGGCTGAGGTTGCACCCTAGGCAGCTGCCTAGTGGTAGTGCTGGCCCTGCATTTGCATGCAGTTGACGCAAGCTTTTGTCCTGCGAGGCCACTCCCTTCTTTCCTTGGGCTTTTATGTGCACTGTGATGCGTTGCAGTGAGTTTGCATGCATTTTTGTAGTGCGGAAAAATGCAGCATGCTGTACTTTTCTGCACTGCAACGACATGAACTATGCCCATAGGATTGCTTGGATTTTGGACTGTCTATGTAGTTGGAGTGCAGTTCAAAATGCAGCCAACTGCATTCAACGGTGTTTGGTGTGAAAGGGCTCCAAGAGCCACCTCTGGATGCAGCAGCGCTCTGTGCTTTGGACACAAACTGCTGACCAGCTGTGCAAACTGTCTGCACCCACTCAGATTCCCTAATTATATAGGAACAGCATCATTGCCAGTCATTAATTTGTACAGGTTGCGGCAGTGGCTGGTCGCACACACTGTGTACATGCTCACCAGTGAGAAGCGCCGACTTTCACCTGTCAAAAATCAGCCTTTAGCCCTGGTTCACACTGATGCGGAATTTGCTGCATTTTCTGTGCAAACGCCGCACCGCATCAGAATCGCACCCCATTCATGCAAACCGCTGCGGGTGTCTACACTCCGCAAAATGATGTGCAGAATTGGATCGCATAGGTATGAATACCCATGCAATATGATTCTAGTGCGGACCAAAAAAAGGGTCCTGCACCTTTTTGGTGCGGATGCAGTGCGATTGGAGCCATACAAAATGTACGGCTCCAATCACACCGCACACAATTCGCATTGGGATTTGCACAGGAATGCGGTGCGGTTTCTGTGAGAATCACATGCGATATACCACACATGTGTGAACCCAGACTTAGATTGGTTTCTAGTTACTTTTTCCTGCTCTGTCCATCTCCTTTCTTGTTTTCTCCCTCTCACTATATATAATGAATCTTATGGAAAGAAATTATAAAGGGACAGTAAGGCTCCGTTCACACCTATGCAGTTTGCGGTTTGTCCGTTTTTATATATATATATATTTTTTATATATATATATATAGTTTTTTTGCTGGGCATAAAAAAAAAAAAAATGCAAAAAAAAACATGGTAAAAACACACTACCATGCATTTCAGCGGATTCTCCATTGAACTCCATTATAGTGAAGACACTGTTTTTTGCTTTTAAAAAAGTCCCTGACCCTTTCCAAGAACAACAGCTCAAAAAAGCCTAGATGGGCAACACAGTGGCTAAATGGTTAGCACTGCCGCCTGTACTAGGATTGTTGGTTCAAATCCCAGCCACAGCTCCTCCTGCCTGGAGTTTGCATGTTCTCCCTGTGTGGGTGGAATCATTATGGTACTGGCCTCTGCAAGCCGATATTTCAACCGCAATGTTATGACATTGAATTTTATTTAAAGTGTATGTAAGGCCAAAAATGCCCTTAGCTAGAGAAAGGAAGGGTTAGATCCTCTGTCAGGTTTATATTGCTCAACTATATGAAGAATATTAAGGGCGTCACACCAATGTTCAGAGTCCAGAGTGGAAATAATTGACGAGAAACAAGCCAACGCATTTCGGGGGTTCAACCCAAGTAAAGCGGGTATAAAAAGTTCATATCAAATAATAAAATTCATGTTAATATTTAATATTGTAAAAAAAAAAAAAAAAAAAAAAAAAAAAAAAAAAAAAAAAGAACCATTTACTAAAAAAAAAAAGAAAAAAAAAAAAATTGTTCTTTTCTTTTAATAATAGATTATTATACACGGCACCACCTGCCTGGAGTTTGCATGTTCTCCCTGTGCCTGCGTGGGTTTCCTCCGGGTATTCCGGTTTCCTCCCGCACTCCAAAGACATGCTGGTAGGTGAATTGGCTCCTGTCTAAATTGTCCCTAGTATGTGTATGTATGAATGCGAGTTAGGGACCTTAGATTGTACACCCCTTGAGGGTTAGGGACTGATGTGAATGTACAATATATATGTAAAGCGCTGCGTAAATTGACGGCGCTATAGAAGTACCTGAAATAAATGTGAACAAGCCCCATAGGAAACCATTTTAAATGGATTGTAGTGCGTTTCTGCAAAAAGTACTACAAAAAACGCATTGGTGTGGACGGAGCCTAAGAGCAGTAATCCCTAACAGTCTCATGTGATGTGTCTGATCTCTGGCCGTCCCCTGCAGCAGGTCTGCGGTTTCTGATCTCTTCCTGTAGCATTTACTGAATATGTGCGCCCCTTTGGTGATGTCGGGGGGCCATACTTGAGGCCCCCCTATATCAAGAAAGTTGAGCAGCACTGTGCTAAGCAATAGCTGAGAATGAACCTATGCAATGTATACAGAGCGATAGAGGATCAGTACCTGCCCTCGTGACAAGCGACAGTCCCAGCAGCAGGAGTGACACCAAAGTCTTCATGTCAGCAGCCATGGTCCGCCACCGGGAAACTCAGCTTCATACAGCGACCGAGGCTGGAGGGCTCCTTCCACTGCCTAAAATGAGACGGAAAGTGAACTCTTCCTACAAACAACACTGTGAACCTGCTGAATGTGCACACAGCAACTTCTCCTCTGCTCTCCCCGGCCACACTTCCTTATTATGCTGTCAGCTGACTTGCCTCTTCCCCATGTCAGGACACGCTGTGCACCGAGTGCAGGGGGTTGATGGAAGCTGCACAGGAGGTCTCTAATCACCCAGGAACCTGAAACTAAGGCTGGCCATACATTATACAATTTTCTTGAGAATTTTGCTTTAGATTTACCAAAAATCATATAATAGGAGGTCAAACCTAACACTTTCAAATGTATCCAAATAGGCAGGCCCTCGCACTACATAGTTGAAGGTAAATCTAAAGGAAATTGTACAGAAAATTGTACAGTGTATGGCCAGCTTTAGCCTGGGTTCACATACATGTGGTGCGGTATATCGTATGTGATTCGCACAGGAAGCGCACCGCATTCCTGTGCAAATCCTGTGGGGCAGCACAGTGGCTAAATGGTTAGCACTTCTGCCTGGCAGTACTAGGGTCGTTGGTTCAAATCCCAGCCACGGCACCACCTGCCTGGAGTTTGCATGTTCTCCCTGTGCCTGTGTGGATTTCCTCCAGGTACTCCGGTTTCCTCCCACACTCTAAAGACATGCTGGTAGGTTAATTGCCTCCTGTCTAAATTTGCCTTGATATGTGTATGTATGAATGTGAGTTAGGGACCTTAGATTGTACACCCCTTGAGGGTTAGGGACTGATGTGAATGTACAATATATATGTAAAGTGCTGCGCAAATTGATGGCGCTATATAAGTACCTGAAATAAATAAATCGCATGCAATTTGTCTGCGGTGCAATTGAAGCCACACATTTTGTATGGCTCTAATCGCACCGCGCCCGCACCAAAAATGCGCAGGACCCTTTTTTTGGTCCCCACTAGAATCAGATGGCATGGGTATTCACACCTATGCGATCCGATTCTGCACATCGCACCGCGTTTTGTGGACCGCTTTTGGGGTGTTGTTAACATACACACCCGCAGCGGTTTGCATGAACGGGGTGCGATTCTGATGTGGTGCGGAATTCACACTGAAAATGCTGCAAATTCCGCATCGCATCAGTGTGAACCACGTCAATATCCCCGGTCACACCAAACCCAACTCTGAAATCGTGCGACTTACAGTGAAGTAGTACGATTTCAAAGTCGGATGACCTGCCGATTTGAGGTGCGATTTGCAAGACATCTGACACAGATGTCTATGCAAATCGCAACAAAAGTAGTGCATGCGCTTCTTTAGAAATTGTTGCGGATCCGGCCAAGTCGGAACCACACCGATATGAGCGATCTTTCTTTGTCTTTCTTTCTTTCCTTCTCTCCCTTTCTTTCCTTCTCTCCTTCTTTCCTTCTCTCTTTCTTTCTTTCCTTCTCTCCTTCTTTCTTTCCTTCACTCCCTTTCTTTCCTTCTCTCCTTTTTTCTTTCCTTCACTCCCTTTCTTTCCTTCTCTCCTTCTTTCTTTATCTTTCCTTCTCTCTTTCCTTCTCTTTTTTCTTCTCTCTCTCTCTTTCTTTCTTTCTCTTTTTTCTTTCTTTCTTTCTTTCCTTCACTCCCTTTCTTTCCTTCTCTCCTTCTTTCTTTATCTTTCCTTCTCTCTTTCCTTCTCTTTTTTCTTCTCTCTCTCTCTTTCTTTCTTTCTCTATTTTCTTTTTCTTTCTTTCTTTCTTTCTTTCTTTCTTTCTTTCTTTCTTTCTCTCTCTCCTTTCTTTCCTTCTCTCCTTCTTTCTTTATTTTTCCTTCTTTCTTTCTCTTTCTTTCTTTCTTTCTTTCTTTCTTTCTTTCTTTCATCAAAATGGCCAAATGTCACAATCGTCGCTGGCCCTGTCACATCTTTCTTTCTTTCTTTCTTTCTTTCTTTCTTTCTTTCTTTCTTTCTTTCTTTCTTTTTCTTTCCTTTCCTACATTGTCAGTACTAGCAGCATAAAACCCTATCCGTGTGTCAGTGTCAGCATTGACAACCCCAGCATGTGACAGGGCCAGCGACGATTGTGACATTTGGCCATTTTGATGACTGAGAAAGGATAACCCCCAGCATTGTCAGTACCAGCAATAACCCCCACCATTGTCAGTACCAGCAATAACCCCCAGCATTGTCAGTACCATCAATAACCCCCAGCATTGTCAGTACCAGCAATAACCCCCACCATTGTCAGTACCAGCAATAACCCCCAGCATTGTCAGTACCATCAATAACCCCCAGCATTGTCGGTACCAGCAATAACCCACAGCATTGTCGGTACCAGCAATAACCCACAGCATTGTCGGTACCAGCAATAACCCACAGCATTGTCAGTACCAGCAATAACCCACAGCATTGTCAGTACCAGCAATAACCCCAGCATTGTCAGTACCAGCAATAACCCCCAGCATTGTCAGTACCAGCAATAACCCCCAGCATTGTCAGCACCAGCAATAAACCCCCAGCATTGTCAGTACCAGCAATAACCCCCAGCATTGTCAGTACCAGCAATAACCCCCAGCATTGTCAGTACCAGCAATAACCCCCAGCATTGTCAGTACCAGCAATAACCCCCAGTATTGTCAGTACCAGCAATAACCCCCAGTATTGTCAGTACCAGCAATAACCCCAGCATTGTCAGTACCAGCAATAACCCCCAGCATTGTCAGTACCAGCAATGATAACCCCCCAGCATTGTCAGTACCATCAATAACCCCCAGCATTGACAGTACCAGCAATAATAACCCCCAGCATTGTCAGTACCATCAATAACCCCCAGTATTGTCAGTACCAGCAATAACCACCAGTATTGTTGGTACCAGCAATAACCCCCAGCATTGTCAGTACCAGCAATAACCCCCAGCATTGTCAGTACCAGCAATGATAACCCTCAGCATTGTCAGTACCATCAATAACCCCCAGCATTGACAGTACCAGCAATAATAACCCCCAGCATTGTCAGTACTAGCAATAACCCCCAGAATTGTCAGTACCAGCAATGATAACCCCCAGCATTGTCAGTACCATCAATAACCCCCAGTATTGTCAGTACCAGCAATAACCACCAGTATTGTTGGTACCAGCAATAACCCCCAGCATTGTCAGTACCAGCAATAACCCCCAGCATTGTCAGTACCAGCAATGATAACCCCCAGCATTGTCAGTACCAGCAATGATAACCTCCGACATGTGTCATGATATTAAAATTTAGCCATTAGGGGAAGGTGAAATGAAGGTGGTTTTGGTGATTTTTAAGGGTGTCATGATGTTTATATGTCTCATTCTGTATATATGGACTGTGCACAGTAGCAGGTGTCGGGTCCTGTATGGCGGATGTGATTCTCACATGCACAGTGTATAGCACCACTCCTCTCTGTCCGCTCTTATGAACAATGTAGAGAAACAATTGAGTACTGTCCGTGATACTTTTTTTATTTGCACTATCATACAATTTTGAGGACAAGCTTTCGGGGAATGTCCCCTTCTTCAATCTCCAGGTAGCAGTACTCACTTGGACCTTGAAGAAGGGGACATTCCCCAAAAGCTTGTCCTCAAAATTGTATGTTAGTGCAAAAAAAAAAAGTATCACGGACAGTACTCAATTGTTTCTGTCACAAATGCACTAATAGGGCTACGATCACCTCAAGAACAATGCAGAGAAAACACAATGAGAACAATGAAGGCGGTGAGGTGGGGCCGCCTCTATGTGTTGAGCCAGAGCCCCGCCCCTTTCCCTGAGCAACTCACATGACTCTCCTGGTTGCCATGGAGAGGCAGAGTAACAAGGAAGCGGCCCAGGAATCAGGAGGAGGTTGGAGCTTCATGTGTTCTCTCATTATTCTAGTTTTATATATTGTTAGAGTTATGCTGACCTAGATTTGCACATATAATATTTCATGTTTATATTGTCATGTATTATATCTATAGAACAGAGCCAAAGAAATACAATCTATATGTCATGTCAGTATTATACTTTTATATAGCTACAGATTGGCAGCAGTGTTCAGTTTGACAGCTAATTCTGATTTAGTTTTTGTCATAGTTTTTTTATTAAAATGCCGTTTAGTTTCAGTCACGTTTTAGTCTGAATTGTTTTAGTTTTAGTGCCCCGTCATACCGGTGCGATTTGGGAATTGAAATCGCATCTAATGAATGTGAATGTCAGCGTCTTAACATTTGCAATTTGCTGCAGTGCGATTGCTAAAGTGGTTGCATGACTTTTTCTGCAGTTTTGTTGCAATTTCATATGCATAGAATATAATGGAAATTGCACCGCAAAAAAATAAAAATCCCAGAGGTTATTAAATACCACCAAAAGAAAGTTCTATAGGTCTTCAAAAAAATGATAAAAATTTCATATGGGTACTGTGTTGCATGACCGCGCAATAGTCATTCAAAGTGCGACAGCACTGAAAGCTAAAAACTGGCCTGGACAGGAAGGGGGTGAAAGTGCCCGGCAAGCAAGGGGGTAAGAGTAGGGTTGCACTGATACTGATTGTGGTACTAAACATTTGCACCAGTACTTGTACTCTCCGATATCTGAAACCGATACCTTTGTGGTGTGACATGAGCCAATGAATGGGCTCGAATCGCACTGCAAAGAATCGCATGTGATTGGAACAGGAATGCTGTGGAATTCCGATCCGAATCACATGTGGGTGAGGTGCCATTTGCAGTGTGATTTGCAGCGTGATTTGAGCTATTCATTTTGTATAGGCTCAAATCGCACTGGAAAAGTATCGGTAATCGGTATCGGCAAGTACTGAGCCCCACTCGAGAATCGGTAAGTACTGAGCCCCACTCGAGAATCGATATGGACGATGACTGAGCCCCAATCGAGAATCGGTAAGTACTGAGCCCCACTCGAGTATCGGTAAGTACTGAGCCCCAATTGAGTATCGGTAAGTACTGAGCCCCACTCGAGTATCGAT